GTGCAGTTAATATTGTATTGTATTGTATAATAAAATAACCAATCCAAAGTCTTTTATTTTTTATTTTCATACCATAACGGATCCTAGAAGTTATTATCTTCATTAAAGACATCCCATTCGTCGGCTTCCTGTTTGGCTATACAGGGTCATTTTGCAATAACTGGCCAAATTTGCAGAAAAAGTACATAATAAGTAATACAGGCAAATGGTGAAGAAAAATTAATAAAAAAATCTCTAAACATTACGTCCTTTTTATCTTTTAAATTGAAAATGGTGGTAATGCACTATTTAACTGATTTTACTGCGCACGCAAATATTCGTAAGGATCGATCGGTAGGCAAAAACGTTGCCCATAAATCACACTCAATTTGCGATAATTTCAAATAAAAGTAGAAGCCTTATTTATTCGTATTTTCAAAACTGCAATAACGGTATATGATTATTCATTTTTCTACATTCACTACACGAGACGATTCATTTGCTTGTTTTACATTTAATTTGCTGACTGTACGTTTTATAATGTAATGTTTAAATTTAATCAATGATGTACCGACAGCAAAATATATCGGGGCGACGGTGCAATGAGTTTAGAAGAGCTTTAACTTTGGGCAACTGCCCGTTAACTGACTAAACAATGTTGTTGTGCAGTTAATATTGTATTGTATTGTATAATAAAATAACCAATCCAAAGTCTTTTATTTTTTATTTTCATACCATAACGGATCCTAGAAGTTATTATCTTCATTAAAGACATCCCATTCGTCGGCTTCCTGTTTGGCTATACAGGGTCATTTTGCAATAACTGGCCAAATTTGCAGAAAAAGTACATAATAAGTAATACAGGCAAATGGTGAAGAAAAATTAATAAAAAAATCTCTAAACATTACGTCCTTTTTATCTTTTAAATTGAAAATGGTGGTAATGCACTATTTAACTGATTTTACTGCGCACGCAAATATTCGTAAGGATCGATCGGTAGGCAAAAACGTTGCCCATAAATCACACTCAATTTGCGATAATTTCAAATAAAAGTAGAAGCCTTATTTATTCGTATTATCAAAACTGCAATAACGGTATATGATTATTTATATACTAAATATCATTATTTATATACTAAATATCATTAGTTATGAACTAAGTATTAAATTTGGCTGAACTTTGAATAATATTTATGTTTAGACTGTTTATTTGAGAAAGTTCCTAAACAAATATCAAATAGATATAATTTTTAAATATGTACCTACATATGGTTGAGACCTTTGCCAGCTCAGACCTAGGGTGTCTTGAGACACGTTCTTTTGAGACAAAAACCATGCATAAATATAAAATTATACACTGCGGGCATTAATTAAGACTGGATTAAATAATAAAACAAATGTTTATTCATGAATAATATATTATCACAAACTGTGCAAAATTATAAATATCTTTATTTTATTTAGAAATCGTGACAGTCCAGTTAATAACTATTATTAAAGCTTATACAAATATGCTATAGGTATATGTAATACAATTAATTAAAAAAAAATAAGTACTTATTATATCGAGAGCCGAGATTTGAGAATTCTTAAAACTTAATAAATAACCTTATAACAGTTTATCTATTAAAAACATAAAGACGTACAAAACAAAATAAATTATTATAAAGGAAAAGATCCCTATACACATATAGTCCTCTTGTGAGATATAGATCCCAATTTTTACGGTCAGTTTCGAAATCCGTCGTAAAGTAATTCAACGTCACCTTAAAAGGTGCACGTGAGGGACGTAAAGGAGGGAAAGGTTAATTTTTCACCACAAAAGCCTATAAAGTTGCCTTCTTGAAGACCAATTCCCCTCCAAATAATCAGTTACTAGCGACTTCAGAGTAACCTAAATCTGTCGATAGATGCAATTGGAGTTTCTTCATCGTCACTGCTAGGAGCTGATGAAGATAGCATCTTAAATAGCTTTGAGTACCTACATAATGAATTGGTCCCTCGAACTATATGGCCGGCCCATTATTACTTACTGATTAATTGCACTATCTTCTTACATAGTAAATATATTGTAGTTTATTAAAATTGCATGTAATCAATAACTCAACGATTATTGATCCTTATATTGTCATAAAAAAGCAGGAATAACTTTTGATTTTTGAATCATTGGTACACAACGCATGGAAACGCAAAAATGAGAAAATTTGCGGAGATGAGGAAGAAGAATCTTCAATCTTAATGTTGATGCAATGACATCTTATCATAGTAAACATTTAATAGCCTAGCCAAATAGAGTAAATATTCACTCATGTGGCAACACTCTATAGACTACTGTGTGTGTGGCGGCGCTGTCACAACACTCCGCCGGGCTTGTACTACTAACTATTCTGTGGCCCGGGGTCAAACAAGTTCCCGCCAAAACTTCCCAGAAGATATAATAGTACTACGCACCGTAGAGAGAGATACTCCCTCTACGACTACGCACCTACCATATCCGTTTTTATACTTAGCACAGATAAATAATAAAAAAGCCTTATTATTAAATATTTTTACCTAGGACACATAAAAATTATACTGTATTTAAATAACATTGATTGAGAAGTTATGTAAATTTGTAAGTAGGTACTTAACTATGTAATTATTACATATAGATTTTGTATATAAATATTATTTTAAATATTAGCAAAGGTAAGATATTTTTATTAATAAAAATTATATTATTCCAAAAAAAATTCAAGAATTTTATTAAATTATTATCTTACAAATAACGTTCCCATTTTTATGGCTACTACGTGTTATAGTTCGGGTTACAACAGCTTCATGGCAGAGGTAAACTTAATTACAAAAGGCTTTAAAGTACAAAATCGAATGAATGAATGAAAGAAATATTATTTCATTCATTCATTCGATTGTGTAATAAAGAATATAACAAAATAAAATTTTTGTAATATTCTTTATCCGGTGAATTAGAAAAAGAAAACATTATAAAGAGACATTTGTAGGACTTATCGCTTACAAGCGATCTCTACAATGAATCATAGGACACAATTTATAGGTTATTGTTGCATTTATATTATTGCCTAAATTATTTGTCGTGTTAATGGTTGCGTATTGATTTCTTTTTAAAAATAATTTACTCACATACAGATATACGTTAGTTTTAGACGGAACGTTTGTTTAACCCGATCGAATAAAATAAAGCATTCACACGTTCTCGTCTACAATACATTTATTTTAATTATCACGTACCAGCAAAGACACATTTTTGTACTAAAGTACGTGAGGGTAATATGGTTACCTTAAACTTTGTCGCCCTATAACATTAAGTTATTATGTAGTACGTAAGTACATATTACTTCAATGCCCTGTAAAACCAAAACTAGGAGGAGGACAGAGACAAAACATATATTCGTATACCTACTATAACTAATATATTAAAAAAAATAGCAAACAAGCTTTGGCAATAATTATAAACATTTCGAAAAACCAACTTATATAAAACTTACTACACTACACAATACTAAAATCGACTAAAATATTTATTATAATGCCAACTGTCAAAATGGCGTCGATATAGCAACGCCACTGACCTCTATTATAGAGGTCAGTGAGCAGCGCCCTTTTGACCTTTTATTATTTGATTGACTGATGAAGAGCTATCGTATCACAGAACCATCTATGCAAACAAGGTTGTAGTGAGTTATATGAAAGTGACCATATTAACCGGTTGACCATATTACCCTCATGTACTATAGTTGACCTAGTTGTAACTAAAGTATATAATATACATGTACTAAATCTGTATCGACCACGCTCAAGTTTAATTTTATCAATTACCTATTTGTTTCAACGCGCTCGTTAGTTCATAAACATGATATTTTTTTTTATCTACATTATGGAGAGAGAACTATGCTCTAACCCGAACTTTGGCGAACATATTAACAAACCGAAACCGTGGTCGTGCGTTTATGCACACCTCGAACGTGAAACCGAGAGGTTGGACTGTACTGTCGAATTTTTTAATCACTCGATTCACTCACATTATTCGTGTGTAATATTTTATATCGCACTAACTGTTAATATGTCATGGAAAACAAATGATTAGAAAGAGGAAATACTATTAAACAAGCCCGATGCTTTTTTTTTAATTCAACAAGTATTATTATAAAAAAAGTCCGATAAAAAATTATATTGTGGATGTCCTTTAGTCTGTGGTTCATATACAAAATATCTCGAGAAGTAGGTAATTAACAAAACGATTATTACCTTTCGATAATCACTTCTATAATCCAATTCGTTCTTTTTTAGTTTTTTTTTCTTTCCTTTTTTTCTTTCAATCGAGGTGTGCTCTTTTGTACTTTCCAATTTTTTTTCTTTTCGTATACAATTTTATTCTCATATTTTTTAAATACTTACGCAAGTACATGATGCATATCATGGTAACTAATAATTCAGACAACATTTACTTTTTTCTCATAGAATAGAAATTTTCAATATAATTGTTAATATTGTATTTTGTTGGTTAAACTAAATAAAAGTCTAAGGATAGATAATAACCGGCTAAGTGCGAATCGGACTCGTGCATGAAGGGTTCCGTACCATCGTAATACACGTTTCTAGTAGGGGAGTCCCTTTTAATATTTAATTTATTTTAATTTTTATTATTTGTTGTTATAACGACATCAGAAATACACATTCGGTGAAAACTACAACTGTTTACCTATTATGAATCATGAGATACAGCCCGCTGACAGACAGACTGACGGACAGCGGAGGCTTAGTAATAGGGTTCCGTTGGTTACCCTTTCGATATGGAACCCTAAAAAATAGAAATTACCAATGGGTCACAAGGAAATGATCGATCAACACAGGTTTAACACGTACAGTACATACTTATGTAATTACTTTAAAACATAATACAGTTTCTGTTAATAGTGTCTACCGTCTACTTAACTAATTTGAGGTTACTAACGACAAAAGTTCAAGTTATCACAACCTTAAAGTCCCCGTACTAATTGCACATTAAACTGTCCCTACCATTTTTTTCTCTAACCAAGGAACGAAATGCGTCACCCTGGTATAGACTCCTGGGAAGCCAGCCTCAGCACATCTCTTGCCGTACGACACCACGCCGATTTGGTAGAAGTGCGTGACAAACTTCTTCGAGTTCCACTGAAAGGGAGATGCAAACTATTATCAATGCACGAAATTAAAACTTTGTTACGTGGTAGAGCCACGCTGCAGCAATATTAGTGTTATGGTTGTAGCACGAATGTGTCGGCTCAACCCGGGAAGGACCACGCTCTCACAGAATACCAGCGTAAAATAGCAGCTTAACGCTGCTGTGTTTCGTATGGTGAGTGTAGAGAGCCGGAGACCCTTTGTACTGGAAAAGAGGCTTTCCCTTTTAGTCCTCATAGGTGACGACACATCTGCATTTTGATTCTTTATTGAGGATAAATGTAGATGTCTATGGGCCACAACGACCACTTACCATCAGGTGGACTGTGTTCTCGTTTGTTACCATATCCAATTAAAAAAAAACTACTTTGGTGTACATATATGAGGTGGCTTTACCCTGTGGAAATTGCGAGATGCCGTGAATTTTTCTTTTGTGGATTTGATGGCGCCAATTTTTAAATAAAATGGTGACGGAGTTTCCTAGACATTTAAGAGAGAGGGGAAATTCTACTTTTCTTAAATAGAGACGGCGAATACACTCATAAGGCTTCGTAACGCCTGTTTTTATTTATGTGTAATTATGTCTAAAGCGAATTTAAAATGATGTTAATTTTTATATAATAAGGAATATGTAAAATACATATTATATAATCTGACTACCCCGTCGAGGATAATAGGCGTCAGGACTGTTATCCTCAAGGGGATAGTCAGAGTCCAAGGAGCAGCGAGCTACTCGGATCACGTTTAGCCAAAAAATATAGGATTATATGGAAAATTGTGAATGGAACAATAGGAGGCTAACCCACAGCTTACACAATCACAAACGCATTAGCTCATTATTCGCCTTTCACGATATGCTAGGCAAGTAACACAATTAGCAAATTAGTTTTTGTTACGAATCCCACATAAACATTAGTCCAAACTAACACGGAACAAAAAGTACCTAAAGTTAAAATATACGATGAAATTAACAGACAATCTGACAAAAATATGATGATAGAAGTGATAAAATTAAAAATGTTGTACAACAGACTTCAATATAAATAAAATGATAACATCATCAATGTAGTCGAAGTCAAATACGTATTTATGGATAACTATACTGGTCAGACCTTGATCAAATTTATATGGGACCACACGAGAAGCACCAGCTTTCAAATAAAAAAAGAATCATCGAAATCAGTTCACCCAGTAAAAAGTTCTGAGTTTTTAAGTTTTTTGGTTTGTAGTGTATGTAGTATGTATACACAAAACAATGCCTCAGTGCTGTATTCTTTAGTTCACATTTAAAAGCTTTTTTTTTAATTCTTCTAACTTTATATATACGTAGTTCAGTTTGTCCATTTGTAATCTAATTGATAGAATATAATACAACGAATATTTCAGAAAGAAACATTAATTTCTACACTTTTCTAATAAATTAGTTCATCCGCTATGAAATCTGTCAAATATTTCACGTCATTCCTTAATGACGCTGCCCTGGTGGCAGAAAAGTCATAGTTGTTCTCATTGGAGGAGGCCTGTGCCCAGTTGTGGGACGTATATAAGTTATAATTTTACTTCACTCCTATACACCTATATTATTAAAAACACTAGAGGAAATACATATTTACAATTATTTAAAAAAAAACTTACAATGGGCTGCATGAGCGGGCCGCCGCTGTCACCTTGACACGCGTCTCTGCCGCCATTTTTGTAGCCCGCGCAAAGTACGCGCTCGTCGATCTTTTGCGCTTTGTACTGCGAGTATGCTTGCGCGCAGAACTCATTGCTCACCACGGGCAGTTGCAGAGCTTGCAGAAGTGTGGCCGTTGGACCGCCTGGTAATAAGAAATTAATTTAGTAATTAATGTAATTTTAAAACTTTTAAATTAAGTATAGGTTTATACTGACTTTATAATATAAAAAGGTAATTTTAGTTGAAGTTGATCTAAGGATGTTAAAAATTGCGTCGTTTCGTCCATCGCGCTCTCGCTCATTCGTAACAGTTCGTTAAATTTCAATTTCAGTCAAAATGGGCCGATGTTTTTGCCGAAGCCGAAGGTTTCGTCGAAGGTAGTTTTTTCGGCCGAAGGTAGCCAAAGTCGAAGCCAAACTAGAAGCTTCGGTCGTACACTACTATTTAGCATTAATTTATATACAAATTAATGATTGTTTGTTCGATTTTATGCACTGCGGTACCGTTCATCAGATTGCGGTAAAACTTTGTTAACTTATTGCTTGCACTTGCGCGAAGGTAGGCATACTACAATTAAATTACAGTAGGTGGCGCGTGTATCGTACCGACAAAAATTATTTTCTTCTACGGCAGCAGTGTGTCGGGTACGTACCAAATAGTTTCTAATAATTTACAAGGTTTCTATATATACTACTACGACTATGTATGATGGACTCATGTATATCATTATGTATGCCAAGCACAGCTAGTTGTTAAAGAAAAAATATGATGGTATGTACATTACTTACGAAATTCTGTGTCACCCCATCCAGCTATGATGGGGTTGTAGTCAACGAAGCTCCTCGCTCGCAACTCCCTATCTTTCGGGATGCAGATGGGTCGGATGAAGGCTGTAAATGTATTATAACGTGATTATAATGAGACAGATTACAAAATGCGTTTAAAATTTGTAATTTTTTTTGTTAATGTCAGTTCGGGTCGAATGTAGTAATTGATTTTAAACTGATAAGCTAGAGAATGAGGGCTAATAGTTTTCTGCTCACCAGATGTCGCTAGTTGACACTGAGGTAAAATTTTTTTGTTACACAATGTCGTTTAATTGACTAATTAGTTTTTAATAAAAGCTTATCAGTTTCAATTATTAATACACAAAACAGAGCCTCAGTAAAATATAGCTAATACCACAGAAAGAAACATTAACCTTTACATTTTCCGAACAAATTAACTTCCCCGCTATGAAATCTGTTAAATATTATACCTCACTTTTGTGGCGCCGCCCTGGTGGCAGAAAAAGTCGTAGATGCCCATTCATTGAAATTTCGAACATATAGCTCAGAATCGGATGACAATTTTTTTTAATTTCACTTGTACACAATATTTGGACGGACACATCAGTGTACCGCTATAGTTCGTTCTACTATATATATGATACAAAGATAGAATTTTCAATAATGACCGCCTATAAAAGTCAATGCTGATCAAAGGTCTTCTTCATAGACTGGCTTATAAGGAGATATCTATATGCCATAGATGCACGCTTGGCAGATCAACCGCAGTTTTTATATTCTGGTTGTTTTTAGGAAGACGCTGCTGCTTATCTCCTGGTTTGTTTCCTTCTGTCGCCTCTTACGACACGCACGGGACGATTGTGGATAGTAGATATTATATTCTTACACTGCCACTACACGATTAAATAGACTATTAATAAGCTGTAATGAATGAATGTTTGGCCGTGGTAAGAATCTCCCGCCTGGTAAGGTGATCTGCACGGGGAGCAGCGAACGCTCCGTGTGTTAGTACGGAGCCGTTCTATATATAGCGCAGTAACTTCAGAACTTTAATAGCGCGATTTAAGCTTCGGAGCGTTTTGCTTGTGTCGTGACGACAGCGCCGCCACAAATGAATAAATGAATGACTGTTTTATAGAATAAGGGTGACAAAGGAGCACACACTCCACCTGATGGTAAGTGGATGCTGTGGCTCATAGACATCTACATCTATCCTCAATCACGAAACAAAATGCAGATGCATTGTAACCTCTGAGGCTTGAGATGGAATACCTCGTCTCCATTAAATAGGGTCTCCGGTTCTCTACACTCACCATACGAAACACAGTAGCATTGAGTTGTTATTTTACGCTAGTATTCTGTACGAGCGTGGTCTCCTACCTCGGTCGTGCCGACACATTCGTGCTACAGCTAAACCACCAATATAATTGCAGTATGGTTCTATTACGTAAACTTGAATTAATTCTAGAAATTTAACTTACTTGTAAACTTGATGTTTCTATCCAGCACAAGAATTCCTATATCGTTAGAGAACGCCTTGGGGCTGTACTCCTCGTGCTTGATCTTGTTTTTAATGAGCACATCGACGGGGGTGGCTCCCTCGTCGTCTCTCGCCAAATCCAGTTCACCCAGGCGGACTAAATATCTAGAATTTAAAACAAAATCATGATTGTTTAGACCTTACTACGATCTAAGGCTTCATAAATGTGGTGAGAGACTGGCAAAGAATGCCATAAGGCCTGCTCATTCTAAGCTTTTGTAAAGTGATAGCTATAAAAAATAAATAACTAAATATATTTATAAATATATATGTTTTTAATGAAAAGAAGAACCGACTTAATAATTAATATAATAAGTCAATAACTTAATTTTTTTCTTGAATCATATAGCTAAGAACACTCGATCAAGTCACCTTTCAAACAAAAACCCTATATGTAGATAGCTATAGGCCACAGCAATCATTTACCATCAGGTGGACTGTGTGCTCGTTTGTCACTCTTATCCTATAATAAAAAAACAAAATCTAAATCAGTTCAACCGTTTGGGAGCTACGATCCCACAGACAGACACACAGATACACAAATTCACAGATACACAGATAATACACACGTTAAACATATAACACTACTCTGTTTTCATCGGAGGTTAAAATGATAAAATTCGCCAATAACGCAAGGGAGACGCTTGAATTTCTAGATTAAACGATCTCTACCAGAAACAGAAATTTTTTATTCAATATAGATTATAAATAATACTTATTGAAGGTCACTCTTTTGTTTAATTATCACTGGTTCGAAAAAAAACCTCTGTCCTGGGAAGAACCAGCAAGAAACCCGGCTTGACTTTTTTTAAACAACAGCTTACAATTAATCGCAATTAACCACACAAAACAAATTAGAAATAGCTTGGTAGCGATCAGCGGTACCAAAGGTTATTTTGAAGCATGATTCCATCCATCCATCAAAATTAAGTTGTAGTGGCTGCGTAGAAAAATGAACTTCCAATCCCGTGGGTGTCGTAAGAGGTGACAGAGGATAATCAAACAACTCTAAACGGTAAAAAAAACATGCGTGAGTGTTGTGGAACACTCGGTTGGAACGTATTTCCTTTCGTAGTATATTATTATTGATAAACTTATTACATTATTGATTAACAAATACAAATAAATGAATTACTAACATGAAGCGTCACTTAAAATAATAAAAAAAAACATCTTTCATGGACAGATAAAAGTGCGAGGGAGATGGATATTATTCCATCTCGCTTCCTAATAGCGGCAAAAGCCGTTTCTCCCCGTTGCCGTGCTTTGGCATAAGGACAAGATAACTTTATCTCTTGTCAGTGGATATAATCGGCCCATGCTAGCCGTGCAGGGGTGGACCATGAATTAGTTGGGCCCTGGGCTAACTCTATTTGGGGGCCTACCGAATTAATCAAACCGTGGCCATTTTGTCAAAAACCATTTTCTATATTGATGTATACTGATTTATCTCTTTTCAAAAATTAACTTTCTTGTCATAATTTTCAATAAAACTTATGAAATTTTATAAAAGCTTTTACAAAAATTTTACTTCGCAAATATCCGCGTTATAAAATAAAATGATGTGTCTTACCTAGTATGAAGAAGCACCTCCCGCCCTCCCTCAATTGCGTGCACTATCCCCGTCACCACTAATCCCAGCACCGCTACTCCCAACACCACTACACTAGGCACCCAATGGATATAATCCATGGGGTTCTGGACTGCAGCCCAAAAAGACTATAGATAGATCCGCCACTGACATCGTCACCCACTTTCAATTTCTGACGCCAGGCGACGGTGTTCTGCTTTATTCCGGTTCTTATTTGTTTAAAGTTGATTGTAGTAGATACTTATAATCAGGTGAACTGTAATTTCGTTTGTCACTACTATAAAAAAATCTCACGCAAAAAAAGTAATATAATGTTATAATGGAATTTACGTCTTAAATTAGGTTGTTTAATGGCCGAAACGCTACGTTTAACACGGATGTACGCTATAACAAAGCCGGTTTAGGGTTGCCAACCCGATTATTTTTTACCCTGTTACCTATATTTTGGGTAATTGTAACAACATTGTACAAGGTCAATGTTTTCAAACCTATTAGATTACTGTAAACTATATTACCGTGTAGTGGCTGTGTAAGAATATCCTATATATAATATCATTCCGTGGATGTCGTAAGAGGTGACAGAGAGAAACAAATCAGGAGATGGGCAGCAGCGTCTTCCTAATAACGACTAAAAATAAAAAACTGCGGTTGCCAACCCGCTTACCAGGCGTGGCAACTATGGCAAATACAAAATACAGCCTATGATATTATTGGTGGCCTATGTTCAGCAGTGGACGTTGATCGGCTGTGACGGTAAAACAATATATAAAGAATAATAATTAACCTTTCCTTGACTTTATATCCAACAGCATACAAACGTAAAAATAATCCCAAAAAAAATCCATGAATTTAGTAAATAAAAAAAATCCATGAATGGAGATATGCGTGAGTCTTTTTATAAAACTTTTCTCTCAACTTTTTACAAGTTAGACTTGAGCCAAGCCTTTGTGGTACGAACCCAGACATAGACGGACTGCAAGACATACAAAGAGTGCAACTACCTACTTGTATAACCAAACGAACCTATTTATAAAATTACTTTTAAAAACTATAATTTTCTTTAATGGTCAACTATAGAGCCAGTGTGATACAGAGTAGTACAAAATATTCCTTTGTAGAATAAAAATACAAATTTGAAACCTGGAAAAGTTTTATTTATTCCCAAATTGCAGGGAATTAATTATAAAGTTGACAACCCTGTTCATACCGTCTGTTGTTCCCTTGACAATGCGTGGTGATAATGTATAACATTGTCATTTTTATAGTGTAGATTGCCTTGCGAATAAAATGATATGTTTTGTTCGAGTTGACCGATTATGTGATTCTTCTTCCTAGTCAATTACGATGTGGATACTTAATAATGATAGTAATAATGATAGTAATAATGATAGTAATAATGATGATTCTTATCGATCTAAAACTACTGCAAAAACCATTATTCATTACTATCGGAAACTTTTATCGGAGCGCTAAGCCCTGAGCCAAAATTTAAAACAGGCAAAATTTTACAAATGGTAATTCATGTCTTAAAAGCGTGCAAATGACGCCCTGTGCTAAATAGAAATCGGTTATTGCACGTCTCACAACGTGAGTGAGCACTCTACTTTCTATATGATAGTAAGCTGTTATTTAAAAAAAAGTCCCGCTGGGTTTCTTGCTGGTTCTTCCCAGGACAGAGGTTTTTTTACGAACCATTGGTAATTAAACAAAAGAGTGACTTTCAATTAATATTATTTATAATCTATATTGAATAAAAAAGTTTCTGTTTCTGCGGCCATACCTCAATTTCGCTACATAAAATCTTTCTCATACTTATAGCTAAAGATCAAATCCATATTATTATTGACGTTATTATAACTACAGACATTGAATTATAAGATTGATTCAATTTAGATAACATAACAAAAAATATAATTGAGAAAATATATGGACTGCCGTCCGTTGATCTGTGCGTCGGTGAATCTTCTCGCTTAATAGAAATGTGAGCAATAGATTGAGGTATACATATAAGTATTAAATATTAAATAACATTCCTTAGATTCTAAGAAGGATTCCTATTGATTTTTGTTATTGAACTCAACACCGTTTAAAAGTAATGAAAGTCGATCAGATTCTGTTTTATTTTTCGTGTAAAAATTAACGTCTCTATTTTTATTTTTTCCATCAAAATTAAATGAAACGCGCATAAGTCGTGCACTTTTGGGTTTTCCAAACTATTTATATTATTACAGACAGACAATTCAAAAACAACTTTCATATAATAGCTTCTGAAATTGGTGCAAAATAAGTGAACTAAAGAATATCGCAAGCTCGAATGTCGTCCAAATAGTTTTTAGACATTAGAAACCCTGCGCCTCCACTATCTAGCTTCATCGCCTATCCTTCCACCCTTAGGCCCCCCGCGCACTAGGCAGCCTGGCTGCGGCAGCCAGACTGCGGCAACCAGGCTGCATAGTGCCCGGGGGCCTTAAGGTTGGAAAAAATTTCTTCACATTTCTATGTGACCCTTGAAGAATAACTATAAAATATATAAGCGTCATGTCATCGCCACTTGTGATAAGAAGACAGGTTCTTTTCTAGTTTTTTTTATATAAGAGGGGGCTAAAGAGCATGCTGCTCATCTGATGGTACGTGACGTTCGCCCATGAACAACTGCAACACCAGGAGAATTGCAGATGCGTTGCCGGCCTTTTAAAACTGAGTAGGCTTTTTTCTTGAATGTTCTCAAGTCGTATCGGTCCGGAAAGTTATTATTAAAAAGACGCTGCTGCCCATCTACTACTTAGTTTGTTTCCCTCTGTCGCCTCTTATGACACGAACGAGACGATATGTGACACAAGTCGCGACACGTAAGTCTAGCTCTTAACGAAACGTGGAGGGGACGCGCAAGAATTTAATTGCACGAATGTGACTAGAGAGCCAACGAGCGCCTGCGAACAATACGCACGTGCCAATCAGCGCGACTTATGCGCAATAACGGTCACTGCTAGACTTTCGTGCCGCTACTTATAACGGATATTCTTACGCCATTACTACAGTGTCAAGACTAATCTAACGACACCTATTTGCTAAAATCCGTCAGGCTTAGGCTACAGAACGTGCCAAAGAAATAGACTACATACTAAAAGAAAAAAAATACTACTCGAGAAACATTAACATCCTTCTGGGGCAGTCGGGAAAAAAGGTGATCGATTTATAAAATTAAAAAATATGATAAGTCAATTAATATTTGCCACTCGATTATTTTTAAGACAATTAAAATGTGTGTGTGTTTTATTTATGTGTGTGTTTATGAGTGTGTAGTTAACCTGTCGAACTTGTGAATTTTGTTCATCTTGTACATAACCGTAACCAACTATGATTTTGGAACGAAGTTCCATATCGCACGGTACGAATTGGACGGATGAGAGATATGCGAGAAAAAGTGTAAAATTTTTCCGTCACGACCCCCTTTCTATTAATAAGCTGCAGCGTGGCTCTATGAAGTTTTTTATTGTTTTTAACTAAACTTAAAGTTATTTACAATTAATTGTTTTTCTACATTTGTGTAGAAATTAACCGTTACAAAGTTTTCACATGTAGATTAGAAAATAAAAGGAAAGGATAGGAAGGAAAGGAAGGATAGAGTCGCACGAAATAAAAAGGTAGAGTCGCATGTTACGTTACACAATTGCATTGCAAATGCCTGTGTTTTCTACACAGGAATCTTACCATCAAAGAGTATATAATCACTACAGCTCAAAAACCGGGACCAAAGAGTATATTTCTAAAAGATGATATTACACTCAATGCAAAATTTAATGCGACTTAATAATTGTGAACACATAAACAAGTTATGTGATGTGCAAATAATTTATCATTCATAATGATATTGTAATTGCTTTAGTAATTGTTATTACACAATATAGTGGCAGGCTCTGTATGGATTTTCCATGAACGCTTCTAATAAAAAACCGAGATTGATTGATTACAGTTTTCTATTAAGTACATAATTTGCCAATAAAGGATCTATTTTGTACTATTACCATAGGTGAAAATTAAAATTTATCTATTGAAAATGGCAGAGAAATCTTATGGCTTTCGAAGGATATTTTTTTTTTTACTTTATTGAATAAAGGTGAGGGAGGGTGTAAACCTGATGGTAAGTGAATGCTGTGGCCAATCGACATCTACATCCATTCCCGATTCAGAATAGAATAGATAGAATCATTTTTATTCAATATCGATTACAAATTATTAAGTGGCGAAGCTTGCGAAGTCACTTATTGATTTCACGATGTCTGTCCGTCTGTCCGTATGTCCGTCTGTCCCACGATTATCTCGAGAACGGTTTTGAATTTTCAAATTATGTTTTCAGCAATCGATTACTGATCACCCAGGCATCTGAACCTCCTATTTTGAAAGTGATTGCTCAACGGCAACCGTTAGAAACCGCTACAAAGCTGATTGCTTCGCCACTTTGCTATGCTGTTAGCTTGCTAGGTTTATTCTTATTGAAGGTCATTTATACTTTTACCTCTGGTTTGAAAAAAACCTTTGTCCGGGGAAGAACCAGCAAGAAACCCAGCAGGACTTTTTTTTTTAATAAAATAATTTATTTTATACAATTAGTTTGAAAACATTTAGAAAAAGCATGGTTCATGTCCTCGTGTACTCTTTAGTAGTGTAATATAAATAATTATTAAGCGATTATTGCCTAACAAAAATTTTAAGCTTTTGATAGTTATGGCCTGCATATTTTCTAGAACTTTGTTATAGAAGCGTAAACATTGCCCCAAGAACGAATTACTGACTCCTTGGAGTCGAGTAACTGGTATAGCTAACTTGTGCTAGTTCCTAGTCCTAGTATTTACAGAATGTACATTACTGTTTTCATAAAACTATTTTTGAATTTGTGTACATACATAAAATTTTCGTAAATGTATTGAGAAAATATGCATTTATTTCTTTTAAATTTTCTCTAAGGGAAAAAAAAATAATTTAATAAATTACTCTTATGGCTTTCTTCTGCAAAAGAAAGATAGTTTCAAAGTCTGTCGCATTACCCCATAGCAAGATTCTATATGACATTATGCTATGGAAATAACTAAAATAAACTAATCTAGCTGCTTCAATACGTGAAAGGCAACTAATCTTTTTTACAGCAGATGCTGCATAAGTTTGTAAGCTTGTTTAGATAAATGAGAGCCTCATTAAAGCTTCGCGTTAACTGTGATTTCGAGAAAAACAGTAAATTCAACAAGACTCAACTCTTAATTTGAGTATGTAGCGATTACAAGAAAGTTTCTTACAACGGGAAGACCCCTCCCATTGTAAAAATCCTTACGATGGGAGGGGCTTAAGTACAGTTTGGGGCTGATAAACACGACATATCTCAGTTTCTAACGAGCCTCGCTTTTCTGCCGACTTCCAAAAACGAGACGGTACTCAATTCGACTGTATTTTTTTTATGTGTGTTACCTCATAACTTTTTACTGGGTGGACCGATTTCGATAATTCTTTTTTTATTTGAAAGCTAGTAGTTCTCGTGTGGTCCCATATGAATTTGATCAAGGTCAAGTTAATAGTTTTTGAGTTATTCTTAATAACTTATATTGAAGTCGGCTGTACAAATTTTTTAATTTTAAATTATATTAATAACGGTAGAGATAAATTTATATCATCAATACAAATTGGGCGCGTGCACTGAATTGAGTACCAATGACGTAAGCCTGCCACTATCGCTCAGTGAATACTTGATCAGCAAGGTGTGAATGTTGGCATTTAAGATTAATGCGTCTTGATTCTTTTTCTTTAAATATAAATCTAGACCTACAGTAGTTTGGGAGTTCGACTTCAATTTTTTTTTATTTTAGTTCAAATAAAACGTTAGATAGGAGGAGAGAGGAAGTGAAATATAAGGATTTCCTCCTGTATCGTGGAGGCGGTTACACTATACACTACACTATACACAATACACAATACATAATACACTATACACAATACATAAATCGCTCAAGGACAAACATCGCGACTCGGAACAATTATTTGTAGGATATATAATTTAAAATTAAAAATTTTGTACAGCCGACTTCAATATAAGTTATTTAAGAATAACTCAAAAACTATGGGTCTGACCTTGATCAAATTCATATGGGACCACACGAGAAGTATCAGCTTTCATATAAAAAAAAGAATCATCGAAATCGGTTCACCCAGTACAAAGTTATGAGGTAACACACATAAAAAAAACATACAGTCGAATTGAGTACCGTCTCCTTTTTGGAAGTCGGCAGAAAACACTAAGAGCCGTGGTAGCTCAGATGTTTAGCGCTCGCTGTAAATTTCACAGTATGCGTGCAAATCGGGTTCGATGAAATTGTTAGTTACAATTTTAAATGCTGATTTACTACGTGCTCGGCGGTGAAGGAAAACATCGTGAGGAAACTTGCATGCAAAAAAATATATTTCGAAGACATGTGAAGTTCGCCAACACCCAACACGCATTGGGACAGCGCGGCGGACTTTTCCTTGCCCTAAAACCCTCTCAAAAATGAGGGTAGGCAAGCAGTGGGACGTATATGCAAAATATTTTTTTTTTAACTTTTATAAAAAACACTTGTTTCTAGCGGGATTCGAACGCGCGTTTGCTGCACCGCTACCAAAGACAAAACCACTGCACTACGGATATTACGTGGAACAATGAACACACACGATTTTCATTTTAATGTACATCTATGGCACAGTAAATACTTATAGACATAAAAATACCTTTCGAATAATATTAGTTTCATTTCTCTCCTTTTAACAAAAAGGAGCATTTCAATTTTTTTTTATGGAAAAAGGGTGTCAAACGAGCACACAGTTCACCCGATAATAATTGGATGCTGTGGACCTTAAACATCTACAATTATCATCGATTACGAATCAATATCCAGATGCGTTATAAACGCATCTGTAACGTTGTTTGTTTGAAGTTAGTTGCAGCTGTTCATGGACTGCAGTTGCCACTTACCATCAGGTTTTTTCCCAGTTACTATCACTTATTTCAGTTGAATACAAATCTGGAGATACTAAGTTCATATAAACCTGGCAGACTCTAAGTTTGTTTATCACTTTTTTTTATAGGTTAAGGGTGACAAACACTACACTGACTGTGTGTGGGTGACACACAGTCCACCTGATGGTAAGTGGTTGCTGCGGCCCATAGACATCTACATCTATCCTCTATTACAAATCAAAATGCAGATGCGTTGTCACCCGTGAGGACTAAGATGGAATGCCTCATTTCCCGTAAAAAGGGCCTCCGGCCACCTGCACTCACCAAACGAAACGCAGAGGTAAACCTCTACTTCACGCTGGTATTATGTGAGGTCGTGGTACCACTTCGGTTCGAGCCAGCCCATCCGTGCGACAGCAAAAGCCGCCACGTGGCTCTACCACTGTTAAAACTTCAGTTTTACATTAGAAAAATGTATATTGAAATAGAGTAGTGATGCTAAGATGCATATCTATGTCTACATAGGTATAGTAATCGGCAAGCAACTTGAGCATTTATGACGTTTACTGCGTAGATCCTCCCCCCACCCCCCGCGCTGATTTGTATGGATAAGCGCCCTTACGTTCTAATAAGTTCCTTAAATGACACCGTATTATCGTTTTTCACGCTTGCTTAAGTTGTTTGCCGGCTATTTTTTTTATTTTAGTTTACGTTATCCCCATATTAGGATCTTCCCTGTATCGTGGAGGCAGTTTACAAACATAAATTGCACAAGGAAAAACATCCAGAAACGGAATAATTATTTGTAGTACAAATACTTGTTCCGTGCTGGATTTGAACCCGCGGGCCCCAGCTCTGCAACTCATTGCTAAGCCACCATTGTACGTATTCAAATGCAAGACTCACAGGTCGTCCTCATGGCCGTGTATGCAGTGGGCGGCGGTGAGCACGTGACGCGACGAGACGAGGGAGCCGCCACACAGCCACCGAGTGCCCTGCCCACTGCGTCCCTTGTATCCCAATAGCGCCATCCAGGGGAAATCGCCTATGGATCGATAATGTGGGCTACTATAAATATGAATAATAATGATTTCTTATATTTACGCGAACATTTCACATTTAAATAATTATATTTATATATGAATAATCTTACGCTCATTAGATGTCGCTAGTTTGAACTAATATGAACTTTTTATTTATTACGTAAGTCACACAGTGTCATATTAGGTGAAAAGTAAAGCGTTTTTTGGTGTTTATTGTTTAAATACACACAAAACATTGCCTCAGTGCTGTATTATTTAACTTTTTACACATTTAAAACTTTTTTTTTAATTTTTCTTCTCTTGGGAATAACCGTAGTTTGGTTTATGCATATCTTATCTATTTTTTTTTACAGAAAAAGTAGAAGTAGCTTTTTTTTTTTTAAATTACGATGACAAATGAGCTCACAGTCGTCCTAGTGACAAGTGAATGATGAGTCCCATAGAGACTTACTTCTATCCTTGATTAAGTAATTCAGGTGAATTATCACCCTTTACGACTAAGATTAGACACCTCGTTACCAAAAAGGGTCTGTAGGTCTCGCCACTCACCATACAAAATATAGTAGCATTTAGCAGCTATTTAAGAGGAAATAATGAATGATTTCTTATATTTACGCGAAGACTAGACATTAAATTAAACTAATTTTTACGGATTTCAACGCGTACAATTAAACTTGTTTAATTCCCGAAGTTTCGGGTGCTTTACAGCACCCATGGTCATGGGGGGACTGAGGTGTTTCACGTCCCGATGTCATATAGCCCGGCTACATTCAGTTTTTGAATATTGACTTTGGTCCGATCTACGCAGAATGATCTTACATTACAAAAGTGACCATGGGTGCTGTAAAGCACCCGAAACGTCGGGAACTAAACAGTTAGATTAAACGCGGTAAAATCCGTCAAAATTAGTTTAATTTAAGAAAGAATGAAACTTTATTTTGGCACAGATCATCGACGCACACAACAGTATACAAATTTATTTTAAAATACGTAGATTTAATAAGATTGACTTTATATGCCATAGGCACGAAAACCACGACGCTAATTTTTAGTGATGACACAAAATCTTGGCGAATACAGCCCCGAGAAATAATTATTTAACGCTGGATAATACATAAGAACGCGGTACTGGTATATGAATAAACTACAGATTGTCACCACGTTGGTGACAATCTGCAGGTTTGTTCATATAGCTCCATCTTTTTTTGTTGTACCTAACGATTGTTATATTGGAGTAATCATTATACTTACCCAGTTTAGCATTGACACCACCCACCACCCTGGTGAATGAGGCGTTACTGACACCACACACTGGTGGCTCCGGGAACGCGCTAACGTGGTCCCCATCTGTAACCGTCTTGCCGGAAGGTAGAGGGGCCTCAGTCGGCGGAGTCTGTGTAGGGAGTTCTGTGGGAATCACCACTTCAGGTGGGTCCGTGGGTATGCTGGGCCTCGGGCAGCAAACCTGTTGGTTAAGATTTGATGAGTGGTGTATTTGCCTGACGTGACAGCCAAAGACATGAGTACAGAGTGTTTGGAGGAGCTTGTGATATAGCAGCGCGTTCAGGACACATAAAAACGGCTGCTTCTCAGGGTATGGTAATTAACAATATAATAATAACATTTGCAATTTATTTGCATAAAACATTTCATAAATAAGATTTTACAAATATTATACAATCGAACAACATTGTTTTCTTCAGTTATACATAGCATATTTACGTGGTAGAGCAATGATGCAGCTATATTATGGTTGTCGCACGAATGGATCGGCTTGACCGGAGAAGGACCACGCTCTCACAGATTACTAGCGCTAAAATAGCAGCTTAACATTGCTGTGTTTCGTTTGATGAGTGTAGATAATCGAAGACCCTTTTCACTGGAAACGAGGTATTTCATCTTAGTCCTCAGGGGTGACAACGCATCTGCATTGCGATTCTTAATTGAGGATAGACGTATACATCTACGTCTATCCTCAATTAATGGGGTCCACTTATTATCAGGTGGACTGTGTGCTCGTTTGTTACCCTTGTTGTATAAAAATTGCATTAAAAGTTATACTAGTAAATACAAAATGGTGTGCATGCTTTCCACACATGCATTAAGCTTACCCTGAGTCTCATATAGGAGTAGGCACGACGAAATTGTGTAGGTTTATTTGGACTTCGTTTACCTTTGAGCCTTTCTGTGTTTCAGCTGAAGCCATGAGGTGACAGCGCAAGAGAGATACTTCATTTCTTTTTTATATAAAAAAGAAGTGGCAAACGAACTTACACCTTACATGATGGTAAGCGGCCACTGCAATCTTTGGACACTGAACTACAGTTGCGTCATCACCACTAAGGGCTAATATGAAAGCTTCATAGGATATAATAAGAATAAGGATGTGCATACTTTAAACACTAGGAACAAACATAAGCTTGTAATACCAGTTACTAGACTCCACAGAATCAGTAATTCATTTATAGGGCAATGTATACGCTTTTACAACAAAATCCCAGAACATATTCAAAGTTTGTCAATAAACAAGTTTAAAAGTTTTATTAAAGAAAAACTGTACAAAAACGGTTATTATAATATCAAGGAATACATGAATGAAAATAACCCCTGGGAATAAGGTGATCGCCACCATGTTGGTTCTATGAAAAATTATTTAAAAATTGTATGAACGAAATTATGTTTGAAAAAAAAAGTCCCGCTGGGTTTCTTGCTGGTTCTTCCCAGGACAGAGGTATTTTCCGAACCAGTGGTAGATAATAAATGACTTTCAATAAGAATTATCAATTTCAATCGATATTGAATAAAAAATTATTCTATTCTATTCTATTCTATATAATTATATTTATACGATCGCATTTTACTACAAAATTTCTAGTATCTAAGGGCCAAATCATTCAATTACCATCACATGGACTGTATACTCGTTTGCTACGCTTACATAAAAAAAAAAAAACGAGTGCAGATCACACGCGGTAGAAGTGAAACGTTCAGAAAAACATTGTATTCTATATCATTCTCCCCGAAGGTAAATCCTCTATATGTTTGTCTCTTTTTAGTAACACTTATTCGTTTCATCGAGTTTCTAATCACAACGATTCTAAATAAGTTTTCACTTCAAAAACCTTCCGAAAAACATTGTATTCTATCTCATCCTATAGATGTATGTTTGTCTCTTTTTGGTGTCGCTTTTTCGTTTCATCGAGTTTCTAATCACAACGATTCTAAATAAGTTTTCACTTCAAAAACCTTCCGAAAAACATTGTATTCTATCTCATCCTATAGATATATGTTTGTCTCTTTTTAGTATCGCTTATTCGTTTCATCGAGTTTCTAATCACAACGATTCTAAATAAGTTTTCACTTCAAAAACCTTCCGAAAAACATTGTATTCTATCTCATCCTATAGATATATGTTTGTCTCTTTTTGGTGTCGCGTTTTCGTTTCATCGAGTTTCAAATCACAACGATTCTAAAGAAGTTTTCACTTAAAAAATACGACGCTCTTTCTAGTTCGGAGGATTTGTCGTTTTCGCTTAAGCTAAATAGCCAGTTGCAGAATCAGACATATCAATGTTCTCAATCGTGGTTTTGGGTTTTGTTACGTATTATTTAAGTAGCCATCTTGTTTGAACGTGTTAAACATACACATCGAACTAAGCTTTTCATTGTTAGAACAGATTAAATATATTCTAATGTCGGCATTAGGTCACTTACTAAAATAAGTTACTGCAAAACATTAATATGAGTGCAGCGTAGACGAGATGAGATCAAAGCGTCAAGTTAATGGTGATTAATCGGCCGCATTGCGTATTCTATGGATGTTCAACGACCTTGACCTTGAATTTTTATTATTGGTTTTCGGGTAAACTAAATCCGATGTCCGTGAATCAAAGCTTTTTCCTTAGATCTCTGTGTATTTCTTGTCGTGCTAAAACGATCATACCATAATATAGCCATAATACCATATATAGCAACCATAATATAGCTGCAGAGTGGCTCTACCATGTATAAAAATTAGTTTTATTCAATGTATATGATAATAATTATATATGGTCGAGTAAATATAAAAAAAAATCATTACCTTCGGATTGTTGCCCTCGAAGCCACAATGCGCCTTCCTCAAGATCTGAACAGCAGCAGGATTAGATTTGGATTGCTTGATTAATTTGAGGTACGGCTCGCACTGGAACACGTTGAGGCAGCTGCCTATACCTCCGTCCAGAGTTTCACATGTCTCCTCTATAATCCACATGAAAAAATTAGAAATAGGAGCCCCTGCATTATGTTAGTAGACTTAAAATAAGTTTAAGAGTTATATATTGAGATTAAAATAAATTTTGTGTGATTGGATAATACCTAATGTATAATGCATGACTGAGTGAAGCGAAAGATAGGGTTGTTCCAATGTTATCGACAATTATATTTCTATAATATTAGCCCTTATTTTGTATTTGTTTGTATACATATGTGTTTGTGTAATTTATAAGCCTTACAATATACAATATATTATATTTATTTTTGTTCATTACATTTAGTTATATAAGTCACCTGCCACTAATTTTTCACCACTCCATAGGTTGACTGGCAGAAAATGCTTACTGGCATAAAGTCAGCCCTTTGCAACCTTTATGGTTAGAGCATTGTTTAAAAAAAAAAACTTAGTCCCCTTGTAGTGGCAGTTCAAGAGAATCGACTATCGTATATCATCCTGTGCGTATCGTAAGAGGCAACTGAGGGACGCGTAGTTGAAGATGGGTAGCAGCATCTATTAATATCAATTCAAAATAATAAAAAAAAACTGCGGTTCAATCCTTAAAGACCTTACCTAAACTGTAGAAGAGGCTTATCTTAATATGAATATTAGTCTTGGCTTTGTGCTCATCAACCCGCCTGCCCGGGGTAGAGTGTATGAATTGTATAGTATAGACTGTATGTTTATGCATATACGTGTCTCTTTCAAGAGATACTTTTGTTCTTCATCATTAAACCCATCGTCGCTCCTTACAACACCAACGGAACTAAACGGGGCAATTAGATCTCTAACGCCATCACTACACGGCAAGTGATGTTACAGTAGTTGACATATAAAACCTGACATAGAATACAAATGTTAACAGTGTTGACTTCTTAATAAAGTAATGTTTATTATTACTTAATTGCTGCCGCTGCTTGCATTAATAAGTGGCATAAAACACTTTAACGTTTTACAAATATAACTCTATACAATACAAATAATTCTACACGCACTCGTCTTGTAGGTACGTGAGTATTTACGCCTTCCATCAATTACCATAAATGATAAAACAAAACTGCTCGTAATTATATATGTAAATGTAAAATTATATTTAGTTTAATACGTTTCACAGACGTTTCCTTATTTTAGCGAAATCAGTAAACCATCGATATACACAAATTGCCTTCACTTTAATATTTTTAGAAACATTATTATTTTGAGATAAAAATTATCAAGGTCTATTCTCGATCTATTATAGATTAAACGATGCAGTCATCCTAATATCGAAACTATCTCAAACAATTACACAACGGTGTGACATACGCCCATGTTTACCTATTCATTTCTCATCTCAAGTACACTTGACACACCGGACCTGGCGGGTGACCTTGCGGAACTCTCGACTAAAAACATTCATTCATTGTCTATCGATAGTTGTATTGTGATTGCGCACTTCGCACTTCGTTGCAAATGTGTTTTCCGGACTACTAAAAATCTGTCTACGTGTCACAAATTTCAGTGTCACTACTAACCAAAATATATTACGTTAGGTTTGCTTGAATATGTGTTTTCGATTTTAATTAATTGATTTCTGATTATTAATGACGTATTTTGTTAGTATCCACTTAAACAGGAAGCGAATAATCAATGAGTGTATTCTAGTTAATATTCTGATAATAACTATGAGTGGGTTTGCGTTTCTTAAATCAATTATTGACTAAATGGCGCCTAACCTCCAAAATCTATATTTTTTCTTGCTCGTTTAGTTTGCATAAGTTTAATACATTTCATTTCTCGGTACATTAAAATTAATTCTTGAATATAAAATAGCTATGGCAAATATATTGCTGGTTCTAGCAATCACGTTACTAGTTCTAGTAATCTAGCGTAATGTAATAATCTTATAAGTAAATATATAATAATTATAAATAAATAAATAATCTTTCGACTTACGAAAGAAATGAAAGAGACTTACGAAAGATAAGAAAAATTTATTTGCGGTAGCCAGTCCCCATATATGTTTCACTTAATATTTGTTTAAATTTGTGCTTGTAGGTAAAGAAACTATTTATACAGAATATAAATCATTTAGTTTTCAAGTATGGATGTTTTCTTTTTACTTTTTAGGGTTCCGTACCTTAAAAGGAAAAAACGGAACACTTATAGGATCACTTTGTTGTCTGTCTGTCTGTCTGTCTGTCTGTCAAGATCCTTTTTCTCAGGAACGCGTGGAGGTATCAAATACTCAAGTCTACTGTCCCTTAGAGCTGTGAAAAAATCAAACTTCTAAGCCAACGCAATCAAAAGATACAGCCGTTTATGCTGCAAATTTTCGACATTCGCAAGGAAATCAAAACCTACAGGGTACTTCCCGTGAACTCAGAATCTTAAAATTTGGTACGAAGCAACGTATACACAGCAAAGATAGAGGAAAAATTGCGAAAAGCAATTAGTTACATCATATAATAAAATATACTTAATATTTAAGAATTCAATATTGATTATTACATAATACTTATTGAAAGTCATTTTTTACTTACCACTGGTTCGGAAAATACCTCTGTCCTGGGAAGAACCAGCAAGAAACCCAGATTTTTTTAAAACATAATTTCAATAATTTTGTTAATACAATTTTAAATTAATTTTCATAGAACCAGCATGGTGGCGATCACTTTATTCCCAGGGGTTTTTTTCATTCATGTATTCCTTGATATTATAATAACCCTTTTTGTACAGTTTTTCTTTAATAAAACTTTTAAACTTGTTTATTGACAAACTTTGAACATGTCCTGGGATTTTGTTGTAAAAGCGTATACATTGCCCCATAGAGGAATTACTAATTCTGTGAAGTCTGGTAACAGGCATTACAAGATTATGTTTGTTCCTAGTGTTTAAGGTATGAACATCCTTATTTTTATAAAAGCTTTTTATGTTTTATGTTTATACATTACATTTTCATAAATATATTGCGATGCCAAAGTTAAAAAAAAAATTAAACTTATATACCTACGGATTTGTTCGGAACCCTCGGTGTGCGAGTCCGACTCGCACTTGGCCGGTTTTTTTTACCATGTCGACAAATGTACCTACACCTGATTCAATATCGTACTCAGGTTAGAATAAATGAGTTTTTTGTTCGTACTTTTAAGGTCTACGTTGACGACGGTCAACTTATTGTTCGGGGTACAGTTCCCGAACACAAATTTGTTTCTGGACTGCGAATTTTTCAACGCATACGGCGCACAAAAATTGCTCGTATTCAGATCGCCGTATTTTGCGGACAGTGACTGGCAATAATGCAAGGACTCAATGCGGTAGATTTCCGAAAAAGTAAAAAAAATAGGTGTCAATAGAAATATAACGATTGAATTCATTTGTAAATAAATAGCTTCTTCCTGTATATTTTATACTTACTATACAAATTATACTCTTTGACAGCTTCGCGGCAAGTGGATTGGCATTGAGTCCCTTAAAAATCAGCTGCGTACTTTGGCGAATAAATTATCCTTAGAGTAATACAATTATAAATTGACCAATAATTGATTTATAAATTGACCTTAGAGTCATACAACATACACATTATCTTAAATTGACAGTATTATGAGGAATCAGAATGTGTCAACTAAGGCACGTATGGCAATTCATAATGCTGTGTTAGTCCCTACTTTAATGTATGGTAGTGAAAGTTGGGTCTGGCAGAAGAAGCATGAGAGTAGAATAAATGCTGTAGAAATGCGTTCCTTAAGGAGTATGCTAGGGCTGAATCTGAATGACAGGGTAAGAAATAGTGTGATAAGAGAAAAGTGTGGTTTGCAAGATGACGTTGCGACAAGGATTAAGAAAGGAATGCTTCGGTGGTTTGGTCATGTAGAAAGAATGAACGAGGAAAGAGTGACAAAGCAAATTTATGTTGCAGAAGTGAACGGCAGGGTCGGGAAGGGACGCCCTAGACGAAGGTTTATCGACCAAATCGGCGATACATTAAAAATGGGCCGGATTAGGAGTACCTTTAACCGACGAGCGTGTATGCGTAGATATATGGATGTAAAAGAGGCGAGAGTGGTGTGTCAGGATCGCGCCAAATGGAAGTCCGTAGTCTCTGCCTACCCCTCTGTATGACAGGCGTAAGTGTTTATGTATTATGTATGACAGTATTCGGCATAATTGTGATCGTTTTTATTGTTTTATTTTTATTTTATTGATTTATGATGACTAGCCTTCCTATTGACTTTATATTGCACTAGTATGTAAAAAATGTATATTTTACATTTTCTAAAATCGTACTTGAAAAAGTGATGTTTGTTGAACCGACTCGAGTCAATGAGCTTGTAGAATTAAGTGTGATTTTCCTTATCGATTTTAAATATTATCTAGCAATCCTTGCCTCTTAGAAGTGGCTAAATGTTTTAAATACAAACACTAAAGCTGTGTAGGTGTGGTCTATATTAGTGTGTGTATTATTTCTTATTTTTAGGTGTTGACGGCATTAGAGAATTTGAAACTCCATGATTACCGGTGAGGGTGATAAAAAACATAAAAGGTGACACGAAAGAATAAAGAAATTAATATGAATGAAATTATTCGTCACTACAACTCAACATACACTAGAAATTAGAAAATAACATCATTAAAAATATAATAGTATATGTAAATACATTTAGTTGCGACTACGATAAGGCATTCGACTCAGCTCAATGCTGTAGCATTGTTGTCAGTTACATATTTTACTAACTAACGTAAACGTAACTTTTCGTATAAATACCAGAAAAACTTACATCGGCGACCAGATATAGCGGCAAAAAATGCAAGGCTGATTCAATAGTTGCCAATCCGCATGTTAAGTGATTATAAATGAAAGAAAAGATTACAGTAAATCTTTTCTTTTGTGTGGGGACTCACAATATTAGATTACTTATATTAAAAACGTAAAATGTTGTGCAGAGTGTGACTGCGACACATTATTAACTGGCACAATATTAAAATAAGAATGAAATTGTATAGAGCCAGTAATAAAAGCTAAGATAACCAGTAATTTAATGTATCTATTTTAAAATAAAAATTAATTTCATTATTTATACTCTTTTGCTTTTACCTAGTTTTTATAATTTACTAGCTGGCCAGGCAGACGTTGTTCTACCCTTTCTGACGACCCTTCCTATAAAAAATCCTTAAATTCACAATAAAAAATATTGAAGCTTACTTATCGGGATAAAAAGGATCCTATCTCTCAACTTGGACCAAACTGCACACAGTGTGCGAAATTTCATTGAAATCAGTTCTGTAGTTTAGGAGTTCAACGCGGAGAAATTTTAATAAACTATGTTATTGTATATTCACATTTAAATTACGAACTCGTTTTTATAGCTACCAAGTGTATAAAAAGCAAGTGAAGAAAAGATCACCCAACCATTACAGCCTATAAAAGACCACTGCTGAACATAAGCCTCCCCCATAGGGTTTTTTTGCCATAGTGAACACGCCTGGGCGGTTTTGGCGGGAACTTGACCGGCGGCGGTTTGCTGCTCCTGTATTATTGTTTAAATAATGGTTTAAAGTGGACTTTGATATGTAAAAGTGGTGCGATTTTGTGTATTAAGTGCTCTGGTGGTGATGTGATTCACAAGATAAGATACCATCGCCAGCTGTCTGCTGGCTCAAGTTGCCGTCAAAATCTCCCAAGGGCTGCACAATGTGACGCATCACCATATTGTGAAGCAGTATACTACGAAGGATAATTATTATAATATATTGTAACTTCAGGCTCAGAAGGGCTAGATTCCAGAGCCATAAAGCCAGTTATTAAGAAGAAGAAGGAGACGCTTGGCGAGTGGGTTATCAATTGCAATTATCATTATTTTTAGTAGTTATCAGGTAGATGCTGCTGCCCATCTCCTGATTCAATCTCCATCTGTCGCCTCTTACGATGTCCACGGGACGATATGGGCATCTTCATCTTACACCGGCATCTTACAAAGTAGCATAATTTTTTTCTAAAAGGCTGGTAACGCACTTGCAATTCTCCTGGTGTTGGAAATGTTCATGGGCGACTGTGATAACTTACCATCAGGTGAGGCCCTTTGCCTCTTCTTCCATTAAAAAAAAATCATAATAGTCATGCCTCAATAGCGGGCTTAGGCCTGCTCAGTAATTAAGAAGATAAAGAAACTAATCCTAACGCGGGTCGGTCTACAATTGTTAATTAATCTCAACCGTTACACCCTACTAAAGTCCATTGCTGAACATAGGCCTCCCCCATAGACTGCCTTATAGGGGGGATATTTGCCATAGTTGCCACGCTTGACAAGCGGGTTGGCAACCGCAGTTACTTTTGTCGTTATTAGAAAGATGCTGCTGCCCATCTCCTGATTTGTTTCCCTCTGTCGCCGCTTGCGACACCCACGGAATGATATGGGATAGTGGATATTCTTTTCTACGTGGTAGAGCCATGCCGCAGCTATATTATGGTTGTAGCACGAATGGGTCGGCTCGACCGGGGAAGGACCACGCTCTCACAGAAAACCAGCGTAAAATAGCAGCTTAACGCTGCTGTGTTTCGTATGGTGAGTGTAGAGAACCGGAGACCCTTTTTACTGGCAAAGAGGCATTCCATCTTAGTCCTCCTTAGAGTGACAACGCATCTGCATCTTGAGTCTTTATTGAGGATAGATGTAGATGTCTATGGGTCACAGTAACCACTTACCATCAGGTGGACTGTGTGCTCGTTTGTCACCCGATCCTATAAAAAAAAACCGCCACTACACGGTTATAATAATTAACCTCAAATACCTAGTTAATTCATGCTCGGCAGCGAAAGAAACAATGCAAGGAAGTATGCATGTATGAGAAAATATTTTTCAAGGACATGTTACGATAAAAACTATTAAAGAAACAACCTTGAATCTAATAAAAAAAAACTCTAATTATAAGGCTTATCATTACTATATAGGTGACGAAACTTAGCATTTGGAGGCACCTGGCACAGCAGTATACCGTCAACGGCGTGATAAAGAGACTTAGATGTCAGACTGCATCAGAAACCACGAACTTGTCCAAAATATATTGGAATGTAGAAGAAACCACTTTACCGTATCGTTCAGTGGTTGACAATTCTAATTGATATTTTCTCTCTATTTTTTATTACAAAAATTGATTGAAGAAGAGAATAGGAGACTATGTCTGTTTTAGTTTAGCAATGATTAAGTTGGTACCATGTTGGTCAGGGGCGTATAACGTATCTCATGTGGAACTTATAACAAAAAATAATGTGCAAACTTTGTTACTTCCATAGCAATTCGTAAAAAGCAACTAATGCGACATTGGGTTTGTAATTGTTTAGGTAAAGGGCTAACTACCTATCACTTCTACCACAATTTTCCATCTAAACTAATATTTTTTGGCTATACGTGGTTAGATTAGCTACTTGCTCTTTGGACTCTGCCTACACCCTGGGGTTTACTGGTGTGACGCTTTGTATGTATATATTAAGTGGTTATTTTGTCATTTGTTTATTACTCGAAAACATTACAACCATAGTTAAAAACAATAATATTATATACTAAAGATCGTTAGTGGTTAAACACAAGAGTTAAAAACGTTAGGTCACAGCGTCGCTTATGTTTAATTGTTATTAAATATTTGTCTGTTATTTACGCAGTTAGTTACATATAGTATTACTGCGGTATTACACCACAAAGCGTAGTCTTTAGAACTTGAATTTCAGTCAATTGCCAGTTGACTAAAATTTCTGCGATTTTACAATTTTTAACATTACATTAAAAAGATTCTGAAAATAAAAAAAAGATTGCGATATTATTAACGAATACTGGTTGTATTGAGGTATACAAAATGAAACAATAAAATTATAAGTTTTAAAATTACGATGTGCCAGTTTTAAATATAGATACAAACAAAATTATCAAAATAAGCAAACCTATGAATTCTCGTTCTCAACATGAGATGATGAGTAAAGATTGTAATGTCATTGACTGCAAGATGATACTCATGTAAAATGTACTAAAGATGTTCATCTTATTTTAAGAGATTCATAAAAACGGTCGGTGGACAATATTGTAAACTGTAAAAGTGTAAAAACCCACCATCATCGCGATTACTACAATCCTTTACAAATCCACTTTTCACAATTGCCCTCCACCAAGGAATACCACAAAGACCGGACGGTGCAGCTAAAAACCTAATCTGTAAGTGGTTGATTTATTTTGGTTTAAGGAACAAAATTAGGCATACGACAATTAAAAAAACATCCTGGTTTTCAAGCATTACGAATAGCATGTTCTAAAACTTAGTTCAATCACACCTGACAATTTAGACAGATTCATTCAGATTAAAACAATTGCAAGTTCTAAGCGTTAGTGCACAATATTGCAAAAAAAAAAACATATATTACTGAATATTCCTTGGCTTCCGAAGTTGAAGTTGTTCCTTGTATCTGATGCAGGTACCGGGGTCAGTGGCGGCAGCGTCGTCAATGGCGTATTAGTAACGGGTGGTGTATTTGGTATTCCATTATTTCTGTCTTCGAATCCAGGTGGCGGAACATTTGGAATCCCGTTGTTTCTGTCTTCAAATGCAGGTGGTGGAACATTTGGAATCCCGTTGTTTCTGTCTTCGAATCCAGGTGGTGGTACATTTGGGATTCCTTTGTTTTTGTCTTCGACTCCAGTTGGTGGAAGATTCGGTATTCCGTTGTTTCTATCTTCGAATTCAGATGGTGGCACGTTAAAAATGTTACCATTTCCAAATTCATTATTCGGTGCACTGTCACCGTTTCCGTCATTCAAACCAGTTGGTGGTGTGTCCGGGATACCATTGTTGTTGTCCTCGAAGTTACCTCCATTATCTGGCTTATTATCAGAATTTTGGTCTATGTTTATGTTATAATCTTCATTTGATATTCCTGCATCTTGAATTGGATACTCATTAGTATCTCTGTTTGGACTGATAGTATCCTCAAATGGATTGTTTGTTACAGTAGGCTCAAATATTACATTTTTACCATTATTGTAATCTCTCTCTGGATAGTTAAAATTATTATAGTAATATTGATTAGGATACAAGTTGTTCGGATAATTTGGTCTTCCATATTGGTCGTAATTTTGTCCGTTTATTATTCCCGGCCTGTTCTGATTTTCTCTATCAGGTCCAAAGTGAAGGATCGTTTGTAATGTTCTTCTTGGATTTTCGAAGAAGTTTTGGACACCTTCGAAAGGATTGAAGCGACGATTCTCGCGTTGGGGAAAGAATCCTACGATAGGTAATACATTTTAATTAAATTTGGGGAAAAACGAGAAAATTTTAATAATTAAAAGAAAAACATAGTATTATAAACAGATTTAACCAGCGAAAAAATCAATTTGAAATTTTTGAGATTATTTCTGATCTAAGAAAATTTTAGACCCCTAGCTTTATAAGATTTGAATTTACATGTCGTTGAGATGAATAAAATTTTGTCAAATAATGAAATATGCGATTTTGTTGTTACTAATTTTTTAGTCTTGATATTACATTACATGCTTAGCTACAATTAGTTTTTAAGAATAATACTACCTAATCTAACAAATTTTTCACTTTTCCACCACTTTTGAAATGGTACTCTTTCAAAACAGTCGACAGAATAAAGTCAAACAAATGATATTATGTATTAAATTTTAATTTATATACGATAATAGGAACATCATAAATACTCACTTTGTGCTGTTTAAAAATGACATATATATGTAAATTATAATGGCTTTTAGTGACTGTATGTATATAAATCGAATAAATTTTAACGATAATATTACAATAATATGTCTATGATAATACAGATTGTATTCTTACAATAATTTATATTTTTAGGTCTCCATTTCTGTCTACGACCGGAGCCTGTCTGGGTAAGTACAACTCCCCCTCCCTCTAACCTACTTCTACCTCTAAGTAACAGTTTATCATTCTTTCTCTTTCAAATTTTTGAAAATGTCACCCTAGCACTAGAATTTTCTCCTGTATCGAAAGCAGCTTACTTTTATAAATTGCACAAGGACAAACATCGAGATCTGGAACACTTATTTGTAGGCAACACAAACACTTGTTCGGTGCGAGTATCGAACCCGCGGCCCTCTGTGTTGCAACTCAATGCTAAGTCACTACGCAACGGAGCTGTTACCTGGTGTATTCCAATATGGTGAACATGGACAGCCACCCTCATTAGAAGCTCTTAGGGCTCAATCTTTATCCTTAGAGTTAACTACACATATGTAGAATACTTTGTTTGAATTTAGTTGCACGTGTCCATTAACATCAGTGCTCACGTACCATCAGATGGATAGTTAGCTCGTTTATCACTCAACTCAATTAGTTTTTATAAACAAAGTGCATTCAATATGACCTCTTTCTTGATTTTAACGACATAAACCGAGTTATAATTAATTGAAATGAAAACGTATATCAATCATATTCAATCATAGCAAAGGACACTGAAAATATGAATCATTTAAATCATCATACAAAATGGCTGGCTCACTAACAATATAATAAATTAATTGAATAACAGTTTCTTTGCAATGAAACTGAATTTGTTTTAAGATGCGTCGCTACAAAAGGCAAACAAACAATTAACCCTTTTTTGTAGATTATGGATGACAAGCAAGGACACAGTTCACCTGTTTTTTTTTTTATAAAAATGAGATGACAAAGAGAACTACAGTCCACCTGATGGTAATGCTACTGCAATCCATGGACACCTGCAGCCAAACTCAAAGAGGGAAGATTATAGATGCGTTGTCACACTTTACGTGGTAGAGCCATGCTGCAGCTATATTAGTAGTATAATTGTAGCACGAATGGGTCGGCTCGATCGGGGAAGGACTGCGCTCTCACAGAATACCAGCGTAAAATAGCAGCTTAGCACTGCTGTGTTTCGTATGGGGAGTGTAGAGAACCGGAGACACTTTTTACTGGAAAAGGGGCATTTCATCTTAGTCCTCACGGGTGACAACTCATCTGTATTTTGATTCGCAAACGAGGATAAATGTAGATGTGTGTTGGCCACAGCATCCTCTTACCATCAGGTGGACTGTGTGCTCGTTTGTCATCATATCCTATAAAAAAAACTGAGGACTAGGATATAATGCCGTACAGTCCATAGTTATACTATACTGCACAGAAATGTATGTTGTAGCACCGTCTTTCGACAGAATAGGTAAGGAAGTGGTATCTACCCAGAAGACTAATACGCAGGGAAGGAATCCCGTCACCTAGAAAATCGAATAGTAAGTGGATGCTAAGTGGAATCAAAATGAAAATGTGTTATTACCCCTGAGGACAAATACGGAATTCGTAACGATTACCAGCAAATACCGGACAAGTGGGAGTCAGATTCGCGCGGGAAGGGTTCCGTACCATAGTAAAACACGTTTCTAGTAGGGGAGACCACTTTAGTTTTTAATTTATTTTAATTTTAATTTTTAAATTTGTTGTTATAGCGGCAACAGAAATACACACTGTGAAAATTTAAACTGTCTAGCTATTACGGATCACGAGATACAGACGAACGGACAGCGGTGGCTTAGTAATAGGGTCCCGTTGGTTAACCGTCGGATACGGAACAATGAAAAGTGTCTCCGGTATTTCACCCTTACTATCACAATTCCTGATCTGTGAGAGCGTGGTCCTTTCCTAGTCCAGCCGACCCATAAGTGCTGCATCCATATTACATTATCACAGTCTATAAAGCGTATTGTTGCGGTAAATTCAACCCAAGAGAAAGCCTAGACTGTTTGATATTGATAATTTCAGAATTATAAAAAAAATAGGGTCCCATAGTTAGGTTGGATTAAGGCGAGGATTTCATACTTTAAAAGCTTTTAGCGCATTTCGCTGCATGCATATTTTGTCCAGCACGGTTTATTTTTTTTATTATTTTAGGATTTTTGGCTTAGATGCTAGTCCTTTAAGCCATGTCTTCATTTCATTCGACATTTAAACATCTTTACAATATGCCGATGCGTTACATTGAAAAATTATTGGGAGATTGTGACGATAGCTAAACAAAACGGATAGTCGAAGATGACAGTACCTTAAATTCATATGGTGTCTAAGTGATCAAAATAACTTGAGGCTTATATCAAAATCGGAGCACTTGTTTTATCATTTCCACTAATAGTTAGCAGATACATAATACACAAAAATCGCGTCACTTTATTGTATCAAAACCCACTTCAAACCTCGAAATAAACAACAAAACAGGAGCAACAATCCGTCGGCGTACAAGTTCCCGCCAAAATTCTGTCCAACAAGAAGTAAATGTGTGATATTCGGTGGACAAATTTTTTATAATATATAAATAATTACGTAGCCGATTAAGAATCTAATTCAATAACTTTGCCTTTCATATTATCAAAAAATAATCATAAGTTATAACTTAAAAAGATTTGAACTCGAACGTAAAAGAATTATCTCGGCGATTAAACTATAATTTTTTTTTATCTCGATTAAAATAAATTATTTTAAAAATCCACTCGATTATGTATTTAATTAAGTGTTACACGTATGCGCATATTTTTTTCCGAGCATTTTCCGCTATTTAGCAACAATAATCAAATAAGTTTTATATACATTTAATTTAATTTAGCCTATAAAAGGTTTCATGTATCGATAATTTCTGTTCCGGACAATTTACTTTTTTATATAATGAGAGTGATAAGCCGGCACACAGTCCACTCGATGGTAAATGGATGCCGTAATCCGTAGACATCTACATCTATCCTCGATTAAAATCAAAATGCAGTATGGCGTTGTTATCCTTGAGGATTAAAATGGAATGCCTCTGTTACTGTGTCCGTTACCGTTACAGACTATTAAAGTTCACTTCCGAACATGGGCCTTCTCCATAGATTGCTTCATAGGGGGGATATTTGCTATAGTTGCAATGTTACTGCTGATTTAATAATTTAACCTCTCAGTGCGTCATGTGCTCCTGGTAGATTATCTTCTATATATCCATCCATTACAGCCTATTAAAGTCCACTGCTGCTGCTGCCCATCTCCTGATTCGTTTCCCTCTGTCGTCTCTTACAACACCCACGGGTTGATTTGGAGTAGTTGATATTTTTACAACGCCACTTCGCGGTTAAGATGTAGTGCCTCGTTTCCAGTTAAATAGTTCTCCGGTTCTCTACACTCACATTTAGAAAGATCAGCATTAAGCTGCTATTTACGCTGAAATTCTGTATGATTCCTTCCTCGGTCGAGCTGAACCATTCGTGCTAAAACCAGCGCGAGCTGCACGAATCACACGTACGTTAGTGAGATATTAAAATACTTGGAAACAATTGGTTTCTCTATTTAATCCTTCATGAATATATTAGGTAAACAGTGTAAGTTTTATAAAATCACCATAATATCACTAACGATCAGCCCCGGCTTCGCATGCGTGATTTCTGAATCTCTACACCAGCGCCACCTGGCGGGTCCCATTGTAAATATAAGCTATCAAGGGATCCACTCAAATATACAATAAATTTCATCAAAATCGATCGAGCCATTTTCGAGTATTTGCAAGAGTAACGGAGGGCAATTGATTTTTATTTAAATAGATTATGACATGTCACAGTATATCCTTATTGGGTAGGCGGGGCGTTACCAATCTCAGTTACATAAAAAGTAATCTTTGGTTAGAGATATGGTAAACAATGGCCATATACAAATAATAGCGATTAATTTGAATTAGATTTGCATAGTTATAATCGATTATATGCTTTATTATATTCTTAAAATCGAAACTAACCGACTGGAGATTTATGGTACCTAATGTAGGATTTTGATTTTCATTGACTATTCTTTAGATCAATTTCACTGATGTCGGTAGGCGCAGTTGGAGCTATTCCCACTAGATTGAATAATGACGGCTGAGTTGTAGCGCTGGGGGCCGCGGGTTCGAATCGCGAACGGAACAAGAATTTGTATGGACTACAAGTGGCTGTTCCGAATCCTGGATGTTTGTCCTTGAGCAATTTACGTTGCAAACTGCGTCCACGATATAGCAGAAAATCCTAGTGAGTGAGTGAGTGTGTGTGTGTGTGTGGAGGGGGGGGGGGGTTTGAGGAAAAAATAAAATAACCTAAAAACTCTCTCAAAATCCTCAAAACCCTGCATAGCAATCTATGGGAGAGTCATGTGTTCAGCAGAGGACTTTAATAAGCTGTAATGGAATTGATAGAATGGAATAAATTCCACTTTGTTGATTTCGAGTTAAGTCGATTCGCACTTAAGTTATAGAATCGCACTATTTGTCAGTGACAATAATCCACCATCTGCAATTGCAGCCAATACTATAGACTTTGGAAAAAGTTTTGGCGGGAACTTAACCGCTGACGAAATGCTGCTGCTGTGACGTTTAAATAATGGTTAGAAGTGATACGTAAACGTGCTGCGATTTGGTAATGTCTATGAACGTGAACTTGTGAAAACGAGGAAGCAAGTACTACGATAGTGATATTATTCTTAGTTTTAAGTTTTAGTCCGCTTAGATGCCTTGATAACTTGGAATACTATCGTCATTGATTGTCTGCTGGCTTAAGCTGCCGTCAAAATCACCCAAAAACATCAAATTTGTTAATATAACGATATTTTGAAAAATGTTCTAGAGGGTTTGCTGCATTCTTTTTGGCGAAAGACCTTGTAGCCAATGCTACAAGAAATGGAAAAAACTCGGGAACGGTCTCGAAACAACTAAAGCAGGAAAGGCCTATCTAGCGAAGATATATTTTTCTATATTGATAGTATTTCTAGATTTATAATAAAATAGTTAAAAAGTTTTAATATTTAATTTGCGTCAAATGACAAGACTATACCTTTTTCAATTTTCAACTACATTAAATTTTCTGACTTGGAATATCGTTTGTAAACCTATATAATAAGTTTTTTTTTTAATTTACAAACTACGAAGTAGAATCATTCAAGTTTCGTAAAGACATTGACCCACTGCATTGAACCAGCTATCAAGTTAAAGGCTGAATAGCCTATATCGAACCGTGAAAGGTGATAAGACGTCACTTGCGTATAGTACTTAACTATATAAAAATAAATACAATTAAAAAGTACATATATTATATTAGATAGTTTAAAACATTCCTTTGAAAAACTATCAATATTATATATTTAAGAATTATACGAATTCTAGTCTTTGGAACAAATATTAAAAATATAAACAACGAGAAGAAAACGTAAATAGTGTGATCTATAATTTGATCTTTCTTTCCTTAAATGGACAAGTTCTTAAGGAACTATTATTAGGAAGGACTATTTTTATTAGTTAATAAAATATTAAACCAAATGTAATGTTATTTCCTGAATTAACTTGACTAAACATAAGCTGATAACTGGTTATGTTAATTATGATCAGTTTGAATAATAAAAAAAAAACAAGATTTGATTGGATAAACAGTTTATATTCTTATAAGTTTCCACCTTTTCATGCTATAATAAAAAAATGTATGAAGTAATATATTATATCTTAGTTATTTTTTACAATCTTATTTAATAAACAAAACAAATTTAATATTTTAAAATTCAATCTTTTTAGTACAATAGTACAGTAGTAGAGTTAACGTTATTATATTATAACACCTAACATACATTTAAAAAAACTTTGGCTGTATTAGAACTTACTTCCTTTAATTATAGCAAATCAAGTATTGAAAAAAAAAAGATAAATGACAGTTGTCTTCACAGATAACGGTAGCTATTCTTACCGCGAATACTGCATTACTCAGTGAATTGATTTTTGCATAGATAAAATTAGCTAAAATTCCCGCCAAAATTGCTTTACTCACCGAATTGACCGAACGCAAACTGTAAACACAGACCGGCACACAACAAAACAAACACGTCTTTCGCCATCGCGTTAGACGTAAGACGCGCAAAACACTCCAATTGCAGCACACGACTGTTTTGAGACGACTAGAGGGACTGGTCCGAGTTCGCGGTACGTTGCCCGAAAACGCGCGCGTTGACGTTCTCCGGTCAAGTCGTTGGCGATCTTGACCAACATATGTATATAAAGCTGCGTCCGAGGTGAATTGAAACGTTACAGCATACTAATGGCAGCACGTGGCGATGTTTGCACATTTTTTAAACTTCCTCAAAGTTGTTATTTGTCTGTCTCATAATATCGACCCATGGTTTGGATAAGGTGAAACCTGCTTTAAAACGATTATGTTTAACATTTTTTTTAGTTGGACAAAAACCGTTCAAAGCTTGAAATGCTATTATTTTCGATGGATGACAGTACCTACAACCATCTCATTTAAGTTATACGTAAAGTAACTAGACCTGAGACGGGCCGCAGCATCAATTTAGCCAGATATCTGGTACTATGATTGTCAGGAAAGGGAAAGGGAAAGGGGAAGAGAATCCAGGAACAACGGGAGAGGCCCATGTCCAGCAGTGGACTTTTAAGGACTGATAAATTAAAAGGATAATTTTCTTCTAACTTTTAAACAAACTGACAGATTTCAATGTTTTTTTTTTATATAGCATTACGACGCATATGAATAACCGGCGTCTCACTACCGGACTTCCGAAAACTTATACTAAATTAATTAATAGGATGTGGAATTTACACTTGTTGCAATGGGATTCCCTGGTATGTACCATTAGCTATCGCCTGCGATGTACTTTTTTGATACATTATATCAAGGTCAAGGTAAAATACACTAGATTGGCGGGGCACACATTTCCCGCTTTATTAGCATTAAAACCATTAAAACAGTGAACGAATTCGCAAGCGTTTCGAAGCGGTGTACTGCTTCGCAACTCATGCACACAACCACGGGCTTCACCTTCAGAAGCACATAGGGATTTTTTTATAGAATAAGTGTGACAAACGAGCACACACTGCACCTGATGGTAAGTGAATGCTGTGGAAAATAGACATCTACGTTTATACTTGATAAAGAATCAAAATGCAGATGCGCAGTCATACCTGAGGGCTGAGATGGAATGCCTCGATCCAGAAAAAAGGGTCGAAAAAATAACGAGATGCCAGCGTCGGCAGTACTAAATATCGCATTAATTTTCCTCTCTGCAACAGTAGGTGATTTACGTGGTAAAGCCATGCTGTAGTAATATTACGGTTCTAGCACGAATAGGTCAGTTCACCCGGGGAAAAACTACGCCCTCACAAAGTACCAGCGAGAAATAGCTGCTTTATGTTGATGTGGTTCGTATGGTGAGTATAGAAATCCGGAAACCATTTCTTATTTTTTATTTTTATTTATAGGATAGGGTGACAAACGAACACACAGTCCACCTGATGGCAAGTGGTTGCTGTGACCCATAGACATCCACATCTATCCTCAATAAAGAATCAAAATGTAAATGCGTTGTTATCCGTGAAGACTAACATGGAATGCCTCTTTTCCAGTAAAAAGGGTCTCTACACTCACCATACGAAACACAGCAGCTTAACACCTGCTATTTTACGCTGGTATTCTGTGAGAGCGTGCTCCTTCCCCGGTCGAGCCGACCTATTCGTGCTACGACTATACTACTAATATAGCTGCAGCATGGCTCTACCACGTAAAAAACTACTGGAAACGGGGCATTCCATCTTAGTTTTCACGGATGACAATGTGTCTGAATTTTGATTCTTAATCAAGGATAAATATAGATGTCTGTGGGTCACACCATGGATTGTCATCGTTATATAATTAAAAAATTCATTTAGTCCCACGGGTGTCGGAAATGGCGTGTCTGTATCTTATAAATGGTTTTTATACCGCATTTTTTATTATTTTGAGTTTCTCCCTCTTTCGCCCTTTACGAGCCCCACGGGACCCGTAGTAGATATTTTTACAGTTATTTATCATTTCATTTCATTTCATTTTAAACTAATTAATACCTAGAAAATGAATAACTTAAATAGAACTTAACGGTATTTTTCTTGATAATTTATAACTTAATCATAGCACAATTAATTGAATAAGTTATAAAAATGTGACTTCGACGGGTTATAAATTATTATATTTTATTTTCCTTTTATAGAAATAACCTTTATTGAAAATGTGCTTTTTATCGTATATTTTTATTTGTTCACTTTGTCATAGTTACATAGTTACGAGTATATCCTATAGCTGGGTATGATTTTTATTATAGAATAAAGGTGACAAAAGAGCACACAGTCCACCTGATTATAAGTGGATACTGTGGCCCATAGACATTCTATCTTCGATCTAGAATTCAAAATGCTGATTCTTTACCCGACCCGGTCTAAGATGGAACGCCTTGTTTCCAGTAAAAAAGGGTCTTCGTTTTTCTACACCCACCATACGAAACAAAGCGGTCTTCCCCTGGTCGAACCTGTTCGTGCTTCAACCATTGTATAGTTGCAACATGGCTCTACCACGTAATAAATTGGTGGACTTCAAATGTTAAAGGTGAATGCTTTGCCATTATGTGTGTATGCGCAAGCACAGGCGCACTCTCTATTCTCTCACTCTCATAGTCCGATGGGACGGTAAACCAACACGACCGGAACGAAATCAGGCGCAGAACTAACGACTTTACAAGCTTTCCGGCGTACCTCGAGTACAAGCAGCTTAAGAATTTATTTTTAATAGAATAAAGGTGACAAACGAACACACAGTCTACCTGATGGTAAGTTCATACTGTGGCCCATAGACACTACATCTATCCTCGATTACGAATGAAAATGCAGATGCGTTGTCACCCGTGAGTACTGAGATGAAATGCTTCGTTTCCAGTAAAAAGGGTCTCCCGTTCTTTACACTCACCATACGAAACATAGCAGCATTAAGCAGCTATTTTACGCTGGTATTCCATAAGAGCGTGGTCCCTCCCCGTTCGAGCCGACACATTTCTCCTACAATCATAATATAGTTGCAGCGCTCTACCACCTAAAATGTGTTGTGTATTTATAAAATTATTGCTATGAATAAATATTTCTACAGACTTTCTTCACGCAACAACAGACCAATAAAATAGCTAATACAGCTTCTAGAATGTAATAGAATTTTTCTACATCATAACTAGACATCGGATATTATGCATTTGCATATGCTAATATCTCTCTAATTACGGCGTTAATGCATATTTTAGCTTTTTTTCCCCCAATCGTGCATATTTCGTTTAGTAGCGGGAGGCGCAAACGCAGTGGCTGACTGAACTGACTGGCCAAATTTTAAATGTTGTCCAATGACGTCAGTTGATGTAGAGAGGTCGTTTTCGGCGTACAAATTGATATTGGGTGACAAAAGTCACAAATTTCCGCATTTAGTATAGTCGTAGCACGAATGGGTCGGCTCGACCGGGGAAAATTTGGAAAAACTTTAATAACATTTCGCTGTTATTTTTTATTATATGCTGTTATAGTTTATTCTTTAATTAAAATATATAAAAATAAAATGGTTTTTTGATATTGCGTTGTGCATATTTTGGACATATCAACAGTTTTAAGTGCATATTTCGGCCTTTTTAGTGCATATTTGCATGCATATTTTGGCAATTTGTTAGTGCAATAATCCGATGTTTAATCGTAACAAATTTCCGTGTACACAATGTAGACGTGGAAGGCCTAGCCGCGAATCACATAGCATTTAAATTTAGGCCAATGAGTATAATAAGGATGGAGTGACTCATTCTTAGAAAGGGCTTTGAAGGTCTATGCATCTGTTTGGAAATTAATTTAAAGTTTAAATAATTAGTAGTAATCGTCATTATTTTGAAACATAAAAATCTGGTCTTTTTTAATAGAACAATGGTAACGAGCACGCAGTCCACCTGATGTTAATCTGTTAGCTGCTATATCAGTCATTTTGTACGGGGTATTGCATTCAAAACAAAACAATGACTGGCAGCATTGCCAGTGTCCAAATCACTTATTTACCAAGAAATAGAAATGTCACATAAGATTTTTTTTTATAGGATAAGTGTGACAAACGAGCACACAGTCCACCCGATGGCAAGCGGCTGCTGCGGCCCATAGACATCTACATCTATCCTCTATTACAAATCAAAATGCAGACGCGTTGTCACCCGTGAGGACCAAGATGGAATGCCCCATTTCCAGTAAAAAGGGCCCCCGGCCACCCGCACTCACCAAGCGAAACGCAGAGGTAAACCTCTACTTCATGCCGGTATTCTGTGAGGTCGTGGTACCACCCTGGTTCGAGCCGGCCCATCCGTGCGACAGCAAAAGCCGCCACGTGGCTCTACCACTGTGATTTTTATTGAAGAAAAAATAAGAGAATAAAATTAGTTCTCCGTGAACCGGAAGGTAAGTGGATGTGGTTCGTAGACATCTACATCTATCCTCGATTAAGAATCTAAATACAGATGCGTTGTCACCGGTTATTAATAAGACTAAGATGGAATGCCTCGTTGCCAGTAAATAGCGGCTCCGGTCCTGAGTGCAGAAGCACTCACCATACGAAACAACATATAGCTGCTATTTCACGATGGTATTCTGTGAAAGCGTGGATCTTCCCCGTTTGAACCGACCCCTATGTGCTACAACCTTAATATAGCTGCAGCATGGCTCTACCACGTCAGAGCTAAATACTAAAATTTATTATAAATAGTTAATACCCGTGACTATGGGTGCTGTAAAGTGCTTGAAACGCCGGGAATGTAAAATAAGTTAATATACGCGATAAAATCCGTAAAATTAGTTTTATTTAAATGTGTAGTGTTCGCGTAAATATAAGAAATCATTAGTTAATATTAGTCTTTATTATAAAGACTTTATTTAAAAAGTGTGGGTACTCCACACTAGAATTTTTTCTTTTAGGAGAATCTACCACCATGTTTCGTCCTATGGGTGTCGTAAGAAGTGACAGAGAGAAATGAAACTGGAGATGGGAAGTAGCATCTTCCTGATA